AATGAAGGAAGAGTAATTTTGCAGGAAATGAGATCATCATTGGGGCTCCATTCTTACTTTGCTTCTGTTTTCTCCGTCAAAGAGAGTGGCTGCTGCAGCAGAAATCCAGAATAAAAATAACTTAACAAAGGGAGTTAATGTCTAAAATAAGGAGATAGTGAGAGCACTTACATGCCCTTGATGAACACAAGTCACCTGGCCAGGATTAACTAGATACACCTCCAGTCCTGAAAGAACTAGCAGTTATGATTGCTGAATCAGTCAGTGATACCTGAAAGATCATAGAAAATGCAAATGCTAACACAAGACTGGAAGAGAACATATGTTGCCCCTTTTCAAAATGAAGAAGAGAGTCTATAAATAGTCCAGTGAGTTTGTCTTTGGTTTCAGGGCCAATTCTAGACAGGATAATGAAAAGGATGGTTAACAAATCAAATTCAGCCTCAGACACTTGACCCTTACTAACTGTGTGACCCTGGGCAAGTCACTTAACCCTGATTGCCTCACCAAAAAGCAAAAAAAAAAAAAAAAAAAGATGGTTAACAAATATCTAGAAAGATAAAAAAGTGATTAAAAAAGTCAACATAGCTTCATTGGCAGGGGGTCGTGCCAAACTAACCTCATTTCCTTTTTTAATAGGATTACTAAAATAGTAGATGAGGGGAATGCTAGTTTAACCAAGATTTTAACAAAAATTTTTGATAAAGTATCTCATGATCTTCTTGTAGAGAAGACAGAAAGATATGGACTAGATGATAATACAGTTAAGATGGATTTAGAACTGATTCTATCTGTTTGATTTATGGCCAGACTCAAAGAGGACTCATTCATGGTTTAGATGTTCAGGTGGCAAGAAATCTCCAGTGGAGTATCACAGGGATCTGTGCTTGGCCCTAGGATGTTTAAAATGTTTATGAATAACATACAAAAGTATAAATGGCATGCTCATCAAATTTGCAGACATCACCAATCTAGGAGGCAGAGCTAACATATAGGATGACAAGGTCAAGATTTAAAAGGACCCTGACAGAATACAGCGTTGGGTTGAATCCAGTGGGATGAAATTCCACAGAAATAAATGTAATATCTTATATTTTGGTGTAAAAACAAAGAAATAAAAACCATAAACACACAACCTTTACGATACAAGATGGAAGGCATAGTAGAATAGCACTTATTCTGAACAAAAAAAAAGACTTTAGGGTTTTAGTGGATGGCAAGTACAATATGAATCAGTAGTATGATATAGTAGCCAAAAAAACCTAATGTGATCTGGGATGCATTGAGAGGCATAATTTCCAGGAATGGGGAGGTAATACTCCCAATGTACTCTGCCCTCATCAGACCTCACTTGAAGCACTGTGTTCAATTCTAGGTGTCACAGGTTTAAAAGGAAATTAATGATCTGGAGAATGTCCAGAAGAGAACAATCAAGTTAATGAAGGGCCTTGAGACCATGTCATACTAGGATTGGTTGAAGGAACTGGGCATGTTTAGCCTGGAGAAGATAAAACTCTAGGGGCACATGATAGCTATCTTCAAGGACTTAAAAAGTTGTCAAATTGAGTAGGGATTAGATTTGTTCCCTTGCCCAGAGGGCAAATTTAGGCTTGATTTCAGGCAAAACTCCCTAAAATCAGAACTGATTCAAAGTGGAACAAGCTGTGTTAAGAGGGGGCTGATTTCCCTTCCTTACTGGATGGCCACTTGTTGGGTGTGTTATACTGTGGATTCCTTTTATGTATAGGTTGAACTAGAGAATCACTGAGTTCTCTTCCATTTCTCAAATTTTGTGATTCTGTATTTTCTTACTGATATTTCCACAAATTTTAGTGAAACACTTGCTTCAAAATACACAAAATGAGGCTTCTCCCTCCATCATATAACTTTTAACATTTTCCCATATAAAATCTCACGTTGTTTTGTTAATGATTTCTTGTTACCTTAGAAATTACAAGAATAAAAAGGACCTATTTGTCCAAAAATATTTATAGCAGCTCTTTCTGAAGGGTGGCAAAAGAACTGGAAATTGAGGGGATACCCATCAATTGGGGAAGGGATGAACAAGCTGTGGTATATGATTGTGATGGAATATTATTGGGCTATAAGAAATGACAAGCAGGATGCTCTCAGAAAAACCTGCAAAGACTTCTATGAACTGATGCAAAGTAAAATGAGCAGAACCAAAAGAACATTGTACACAGGAACACCGATATCATATAATGATGAACTGTGAATGACTTATCTATTCTCAGCAATATAACCATCCAAAGGACTCATGATGAAAAATTCTATACACATCCAGAAAAAGAACGGATGGAGTGTGAATTCAGATCGAAGCATACAATTTTGATTTTTTTTATGGTTTTTTTTGGTCTGTCTTCCTTTACAATATAACTAATATGGAAATATGTTTTTGCATTGCTTACCATCTCAGAAAGGGGAACAGGGAAGAGAGGGAAGGAGAGAGAGAATTTGAAACTCAAAATTTTTTAAAATTAATGTAATTGGGAAAAAATAAAACATTAAAATTTTAAAATTATAAGAATAACCTGGTATAGTGTACATTTGGGAATGAATCTTCATTAAATAAAATCTACACTCTTTGAGTGATTCTACAGAATATAACCAAAGAAATGTTTTCTCAATTACATAATGAAAGCAAAAGAATAACCAAAATAAAATTAATTCACAAGACTAGAAATATATCCTTTATACTTTCTTAGACTAAAAGTAGCAGATCCTATACATTTTAGTCCTCTTTAACTTTTGGGATAGACTAATGAAAATATTCAACCCATACACGGATTATCTGACTTTCTGTCATAGAAGCATTCACCTTATACCATAAACATGCCTCTATTAACAGGCCTGATATTTTCCACTTTTAAGTATTTTACAGCAGATAACTAACATCAAACAGTAACCATTATAATCACTCTAGGATGTCTTTAAAGAGTCTCAGTGAACAGATCTTTGTGTGTGTTATAAAGAGACAACTTACATAATAGCACAAGTAGAATATGGCCTACCAAAATGATACAAAACAAAAATGTGCTGTTGAATCCATTTTAAATGACTTTAAAATGTAAAATCTATTATTTATTAACATATCTATATTAGTTTTCTTGCTCCACTTCATTTAAAGATCTTGGCCTTCTAGACTATTTCTTTCTCCTTACTACCAACTGACACTTTCAAACTTTAGGAGTTTGCTTGAGCCTTAATATTCAAAAATAATTAGGAAGGTATTTTGTTTTTTGGCCACTCCAGAAAAGATATAGAAGTAGGCAGGGAAGAAGTAAGGCTGGTAAAAGAAGGGTTTATTTCAATTACTATTCCTAGCACCACTACTATCCATGACACAACATGTCTAATCTCTTTGAATTTCAGTACTGATTTGTAAAATGGAAATAACATACATCTCAAAACTACTAGGGGAGGAGAGGAAGGAAATTAAATCCTATGTGATAAGATTAAATACATCCTACATCGTTGAAAGATATAGTCTTCTTAATTCATGACTGCTTGTATATATTTATCACATATTATCATGAATATCTACACCAAATTCTAAAAAGATTTCTAAATTTAGTGCAATAGTATGAAGCTGATAACACTGTTTTGAATAAAGTTTGTAACACTCATTTATTTTCAATTACTACTAACAACTCAGTATAATGACACATAAAAGTGATGTTAATAGTGTAATGAAGCTAAGGAATCAAAGATCTAAGAGTTTACCCCTCAGTATGTGGTGTCTAGTTTAATTTTTGTAAGACGGTTCCAACTCTACTCTTTGCAAAAAAAAAAAAACAAACCTTTTTTTTGATCTAAACAAATTTTTGATCTAAATAAATCTTTACGTATAGTTTTATTTAAGATACTTCAGAATTATACCCTTTGGTGAAAATAATACATCCCTATAACACATTATTTGTTTTTTAATTAAAATAGAAATATAATTTGTTGCTAATTATTTGAATCTTGAAAAAAATCACATATCTTTTAATACATGGAGAAACCAGTTCAGGACAAAAAAAAAATCACTAAAATAAAACAAATGAAGAAAAAGCAAACGAAGAAAAATTTATTTGTCTTCACTCCTTTAAGAATTTATATGTCATTACTAATTTATATGTCTTCACTCCTTTACTAATTTCCTTTTTTTTTACTAGAGACCAATTTAAAAAAAAAAACTGAGGACTTTAAAAAGTAAACTTTTTAATCTTTTAAGATGCTTTACAATCTAGTTTAAAATGATCTTCAAAACTTCAGGCCAAAAATTAATTTACTTTCAAGAAATAATTAAGAAAACAAGTTTCTGACACCTTAAGGATGCAGTGTGGTATAGTGGTAAGGTTGCTGACCTCAGAATCAGGAGAGACCTTGGTTTAACTTCTGCCCTATGACACTATCAAACAATAAGTAAGTCATTTAACCACTCTGAACCTCAGTTTCCTAATCTGTAAAAAGAGTAAAATATACCTGTAGAACCTACCTCAAAAAGAAACTGTAAGGGTCAGATGAGATAATGTGTTTGAAGTTTTTGGCAAACCTTAAAGCATCATATAAATATCCGCCATGATTTCTGACGGTTCTGAAACTTTCCTGGATCTATTATTTCAGAATATAAAGAAATGGAAGAGTAACCCAAGCCATCGACAAGATTACATGAAAATGTGTAAAACTTCAACAGCCAAGTAATTGAAAGTTTATCTTTCAATAAAATAGACTGAGACTTTGCAAAGATGCATCTGCTGGTGAGATACATCTGCTCCACAGTTGATAATGCCACACATTTAAATACCTCCCTCTGAAGTCACACTTTGATTAAGGAAAGAATTGATGCCTCAGTTACAGGGCTACACTGTTAGCCTGTGGCCCATCCTTCTCCCCAGTTCTGATTCCAAATCAGCAGACACAGTCTATTTTATTCATACCCTGCACTATTGATTTCCATGATAACTTTTTGGTCTAAATATTTAACACTTAAATACCATTTAGTCTCCTCTGAAGTGCTTCTTCCTCAAGTGTAATAATATAAATTTGCTCATCCAGGTCTTCAAGAATCTAAATGTAAAAATAAAATTATTCACTGATGTAGTAATGTTAAGTAAATGACTTATGTTTTAATTTATGTGCTATATAAATGCTAGTTATTATAAGGATACAAGTCAGTTAAAACACCTGCAAGCTAAGGCTACGTATATTGCTAAACACACCAAAAAATTGCCCCAAATGTTCACTTTACTGATTTGCATTCTCAAGCAGGCAAAATTTGTTTCTTTATCAAAGAATTTGCATTTATTTTATTAGCCAAAAGCATAAAGCTGAAAGAATTTTTAAGTACACATAAACTTAAATATAATATGCTTATATATTCTCCAAAAGTCATAATTTAAAACTGGAAATGACCTAAAAAATTTAGCTCAATATTTATTTTCTTATTTGTGTATACCAACCTATCAAACACTTACATTAAATTTGGCACAAATGACTTATAAAATAATTCATTGACATGTAACGTTTTGCCACTTCTTATACCTTGAAAATACCATAATGAAATTTAACTGTCCTTTATCAAAGTCAACTTATAACAAGGCCAATTAAGGAAATGGAGGAATTTCAATTTTAATATCGTATAACACATTTCCATCCTGTCATATTCCCCTCTAAATTAAATGAAAATGAAAACAATATTGGTCAAATCGAATATACGTGCTACCCTCCCACCCCAACTAGGTAGTAGCACAGTGCCTGGCACATAATAGGTACTTGGTTGACTTGACCTGATTTTTGCACTTGACAGTGAGAAATTAGCAGTATATTCTTTTAATCATTTGCTTTGTTTACATCACATTGCATCTGCTTAATTCTGGGGGGTATGATGTTACAGTACAGCAATTCAAGTCAGAAGATTATGGTTCTAAGACCAACTTCACTTCTTTCTAGCTGTTTGATTTGAAGTTAGTCACAAAACCATTATAAACCTGAGTTTCCTCATCTGTAAAATGCAGATAGTAATACTGCCCTGACTACCTCACAATGCAGATCAAATGAAATAATACATGTGAAAGTATATTTCAAACTGTAAATCACAACACAAAGATAATTATTATTATTCAGCCGTTGTCCCAGCAGAAAAATACTTTAAAAAACCACATACTTAACTACACCCCTCACTCCAAGGAAGATCTGAGAGAGCACAGAATTGCTTGAAATTAGCATTTTGCATCAGTCTGAGAGACAAACTGTTTATTTCCAAAATGGAAGAGCTCAGCAGGTGGAATAAGAGAGTAAAACTGCTGATTTTTTTAGTTTCTCTGAAGCCAGGTCTTCACCATGTAGTTCCATTATTTTATATAAATAGGTTCCTAAATAATATAATACGTATCAAACGCAAATACCAAAATACATATAACAAAGCCAAAAATGATGGATTTTTAGAATGGCTGTGCCACCAATCTCCTCCATTGGTGCAAGTAATCAAGACCTTCCTTCTCAAGGTCTAACTACATAAATAATCAATTTAATACAATATGTGATATATGTGAATGAGATTGGCTTAATGAATATATTTCTAGAAATTATGTTAAAATGAGTGCATTCTTCTTTAAAATATTTGTATGTATGTTTACACATACATACAAAAACTCATTTTAATGAAAATGACAAATTAGATAAAGCTAATTCATACTATAAATGAATTCTTCCATTTATAAAAAGATTTACTATGGGGAAAAGAGTAGTAAATTCTATTAGTACATCTAAGTCTATCAAGTAATTAATCTGCAAAGAAAGACCAACAAGGAAATCATTTAGAATCACTACCAATCGAAGATTAATAATAAAAGTCTTCTATGAAATTAAAATAAAAACTGATGAAAAATTCAATTTTTTAAAAAACTTTGTATACAATAAATACATATATGTATAATATATACACATATACACTTCTTAAGAATATATCTACTATGTAAAAAACGAGATGCATAGGTATATTTCTATGGTAAATCTTGAAAAATTCTAAAATTTCTGTTTATTAGAAAAATTGTTCAGAAATCATGTTACTCTTCAAAGTTCATTTTATCTTGTGGAGCCTCAGTTTCCTCTTCTGTTAAATAAGGAGTATAGACACATGATCTTTAAGGTTCATTCCAACACTTAGTTCCTATGATACACCTAAGAAAGCAGGATGCTGGGCTAAAATGGCTTATGCCTTTAAGAATTAAGAAACTTTGATTTTAAATGCACTAAGGGAATTTTTCCAATAAGATCTATAATCACACAATCAAAGATTTCTATTATATATACATTGCTAAATAGCAAGCTAAAATATAATTTATAAGGTGTTCAAATGCAATTACATTTATCCTAGTAGAAACAAGTGACTACAAAATACTTACCGTTGGTTTCACCAACAGCTGACCCATGACTGTAAACATTCGTGAAAGCCCAACTGGTGTGCACACTGTAGAAAATAAATTGTTTACTAAAAGACAGATTTTTAGATTTCAAAGTTGAGACAAATACATTCCTAATCTATGCAGACTATAACACACCCAAATTAAGATGGTCCTTTGTCAGCATTCTCATGGAATATTTAGATTGTCACTTTTAATTTAATGTTTGGCAAGTATCACATAGAAATTTTTAACTTTTGCCTGGTACAAAGCAAAATGACAGATTATATGTTACCAAACTGAAACCATTTTAATATCAATGAGTACCAACTAACTCATTTAAACTAAACAGTGCCATCTCTTTGATACGTCCTCTAAGTTAAAATGTTTGCTACAGCATTGAAGTGTATCAATGGAATCAGTCTTAGACTTTCAAAAGAAAAGTCATCATTGGACATTTTAAGCAAATTAAAATTCAATGTGAGTAGAATAATAAGTATAATACTGAAAACAGGCTAGAGTGTCATCCATGTGACTAACATTTTGATTTCATTAGAAATAAAATGCACTAAAACTTCATTCTAAGACATGTTAAGGGACAAAACTAACACCTACTTGGTATCTATGTTATAATGGGAAAAGATACATTACATATCACTAGGTCAATGTGAACTTCAATATAATCAAATGAATGGCTAGACAATTTAAACTGGCTTTATTATATTCAACCAACCAAAGAAATATGGTTTAAACATTTTTCACTATTGGTTTTTTTCCCTCCCAAAGGATTCCCTAAGATACTAGATCTTCAAAAGGACTAGGACATCGAAAAACAAATAAATTAACCCATGTACTTTTCAATTCAAGATTAATCACAGGTTTTTTAATTGTTTAGCTTTGTGAGTAATAGAACCAACTGGGCTGATAATTAGAATTGAGATACACTAAAAAGAAATAATAAAAGTTGCTGTCTGGTTCAATATTGGAGTTTAAGTCATTGCTTCCATAAACTTATAATAACCGTTAACAATACAAAAAAGTGTTACGGCATACTATAGAAAAATATTACAATGTTTTAATCAGAGGTCAAGAATAAAACCTATGTTATAAGTACTCCATGTAATTCCATGTACTATGCACATGGAGGAAAGCATCATCTGCAGTCTAAGCATAAGAGGGTCTACCATTGGTTACCCACACATGACGTAGCTACAGCAAATTTTAATCACAATATGACATTGCTAGCAAGAACCTAGCATAGTTCTAGACTACTTTACCCCATTGCAGATATGGGAATGGAATCTAACTTTAACCTCCATTAATTAAAAAAAAACATTTAAAGGTAAATGTAGAGGAAGACTCCTTTCAAAATGAAACAGAAATAATTTCTGAATAAAAACCTGTTTTGGATTATTTGTGCCCTCCCTGTAATGCAGATGTGTCAGTGTTGAATGTATATTCAAAATTAAGAACACTAGGTTTAAAAGGACAAGTCTTAGCTCTACTTTTAAATTACTTCAAATTTTTCTTGCTTTGGTTTATTTAAATAGGTACTATCATTTAAAAAATAAAACATTTTAAAAGTTTATATGTTAAGTTGAAGCATAAAATAAAATGTAATATTTGAAAACCTAACACATATCTTCCAATCTACTACCATATAATATTGTATTAAATCTTTACTTAAGCACTCAGACCCTGACAAGCAGCAATAAGACAACATTTAATATCTTTAAAATATGAATGACTTTATTTATTCGTTCCTTTAAGTAATATTACTGCAATTATATTAATACATTTATGAAAAGGCTAAGCCACATAAAACTCTGAAATGTGTATATGAACATATAAATGATAATTCTTAATATATAGATATTTATATATGTATATATATAAAACTATATAAAATATGGGGAAAGCTGGTAGCCAGTCAAATTTCTTACTACATAGCAATTTCAAATTAAATCATTGCTCAATTGGGTAGTAGTACAGACAGAGAACTCTGTCTTTATTCCCATTACATTGACCTGAATGGAAAGAACTGGTGGCAATATTGCAAAATACTACTACTTCAAAGGAAAAAAAGTCTCTACTTAGTAAAAGTAAAAGTAGTGCTAGCAAGATCAAGGAAAGTCAAATAGATGTTTAGTAAGGCAGACTGAGGCAGGTAGGAGTTAGCAAATTCAGGACCAAAAGAGAACAAGGATATTCATCTCAGACACAATTCAAAACTAACATCAGATTTGGGATCTACAGAAATAAAGAAAAATGGCTATTTCTGCACAGCTAAAGCCAGGCAAAGAAGAGAGCAGATGTCATCCAGCAAACTGATTTATCAGACCAGAATATTGAGGAACAAGCAGTAACCAGAAACTACATTTTTAACCCTGAAATTATGTACGCATACAATAAGACAGATGGCAAGTTCTCTGATGCCACATTGATATATATGTTTAATATGTATGTTGTGTGTATATGTGCGTATAAAGTCAACCTACTTAAATTTTGTTGTAACTATCCAATATGAGATAGAATACATCCGATCTATAGGTGCTTAGCTACTGAAATAGCAAAAGGACCAAGTTATGCCAAGGTTCCCAAATATCAGCAACCCTTCTTATTGAAGTTTATTTTTAATATGAACACTATTAGATGCATGAGAAACATAGTCTAATGGATTCTTGAAAGAAAATACAATTAATAAAAAAACAGTTGAAACCTAGAAAATTAAGAAAATTTGTTATCAAAGGAATCACAAGTTCCTACAAATCTCTAATAATATTGATTCTTAAGATATGGGGCTGATAGAGTTTGTTAATAAAATCTGATTTCCACTAATCAGAAGAATACTTACAAAGAAGTAATAAACATCCCATTAATGATATACAGGAATATAAATAAGGTAGGTAGAATTCCCAGAGATCTGTAACAAGAATATTTTAATATATGCATTAAATATGATACATGTTGAGATATTAAACATTAAAACTGGTTATTTAAATCTGATGAAACTAATTCAATTCAATCAAAACTTATTAAGTACCTACTATATATAAGGCACTGTGCAGGTGAGATAAAAAGACAAAAAAAAAAGTCTATCTTCACCAAACTTATATTATACTGAGTGCATAAAACATGTAACATCTATTAAGAAAGAAAATTAGTTCTTAAGTCTGGATTTAGGTTCAAATAACACCACTAACTAATAATAACAACTAGCATTTGTATAACACTTTAAGATTTACAAAGAGCTTTACAAATATTATCTAATTTGATCCTCACAACCACCCTGGGAGGTGCTGTTATTATCCCCACTTTACAGATGAGAAAATTAAGGCAAAAAAGGTTAAGTGTCTTGCCCAGGGTTACAAAGCTAGTAAGTGTCTATGGCTTGATTTAAATTTAAGCCTTCCTAACTCTAGGCCTAGTACTCTATCCACAGGCTACCTGTAAGTCTTGAGGCAAGGACCTTCATCTCCCTGGGTCTTTGTTTCCCAAACTGTAAAAGGATGGAATTTGATTAGATGGCCTTCTGAGGTCCCTTCCAGCCCCAGTTCAATGATTCTACACAGATATGTAAATACACAGTAATCTGAGGAGAACAGCACATTAACTGGGGGCAAGGATCTCCGGAGAAGGGAGAGAATGGGTAAAGAGCTTATGCCAGTGCTCCAAGGCAGGACTGGAATGGAGGGAGTAACATGACATGAGGCTAAAAGGATGGACCAAATTAAGGACTTTATCTTACTAACTGTTACTTTGCAGGACAGTAGAGTAAAAGGATTTAGAAAACAGAAAATTATTGTTAATCTTTACAGAGGAAAAACCTTTATGGCATCTTAGAAACAAAAAGCAATTACCAAAAATATCTTGGAAGCTGCTTAAACAATCTGCATTGATATTAAGTACGTGTGGACACATGCATAAACCATGCTGGAAATCATTTTCAAGTGCTGATTAAAATATATTAGTAGAACTTAAAAGCATCTAGACTTATGACCTGCCACTCAGAAGATGGTTAAAAGAAATAAATTCCTTACCATATAAAGATTCCATACTGGCAGCATCATTGTCAATGAGAGCAGACGCTACCCATACTATTCCAAGAATAAGCAGTGCAAGAAGAATCAACATAACAACGGTTTCCAAAATTCGTGCTCTGATTCCCTGGAAAGTGTAACCAGAATTTTTTTTTTAATATCTTACTCCATTTGCTAAATTTCCATTATATGAAATTGCAGAATAATCCTTTACAGAGGAAAAGATGTTGCTTTACTCCAGGGGAAAAAACACTAAGAGCTTATACCTCTTAAGGGTTCCCTAGTTGATTTTTCCTTTTAAACCCATGGGAAATACTATTACCTTAAATTTGGAAATAAAATACACTTCTCATTAATCTCATGATTCCATAAAAACATTCTTTATACCATATAATTTTACAAAGTCATTTTTAAAGATGGATTACTTTCTTAACACTTTCAGCTAAGAAAGGGGATTAGCAAGTTTTTATCTATGATTTCAATCAAGCGAATGGAAGGCCAATTATGGCATATAGCCAAACAACTCAGCCAGCATTAAACACAATTTAGGTACCATGTACCACTTTACTTAAGAATAGAATTTCCCACTGTAATTAGTTCTGTGTAGTTCTTCACAGTCTACAGAGCCCTCAAGTGTGTAGCTGAAGAATTGCTCATTTTATTTCTGTACTGCTATTACATTAGTTTTATGAATTACATCATTCCTTTCTCTTCATTGGACAGGACATTCACTAATTCACAATACTAAGAGCATTACATTATAACAATTATTTTAAATATAGAACTAATTTTGTCTTGAAGATCAAGATGTTGTAATTTAAAACTAATTGAGATCTAACCACCAAAATAGGAAGAAAATAAAACAAAACTAAAAGAAAGTATTTTTATCACATTTGTCCTGCAAAATGATACCAGAAGACGGAACTAACATTTTAAGGCCAATACAAGCATTTTAAACTATAATGCTAACTCTATGATACAATTCTATAAGTACTAATGTTAAGGTTATAGACCAGTTTGTTATAAATTATAAAGCAATGAGTTTTTTGAAAATAGGTAAAATTTATTAGTAACTGAGTTAAGAATGAATGCCTGGGGTATATATTTAGTTGACATTTTTTTACTCAAGAGCCTTTGAAATGGTCTTTTTCAGTTTTTGAATGAGTGAAAACAAAAATGATAAGATACCCAATTAGAAATATTATTATGGCCCAGTCACCTAGAAAATGGAAATAAAAGAATAGAAATAATGTCACTATTAACAATAGACATTTATATAGCATGCTTTAAGGTTTGCAAAGTGTTTAACACAGTGATCTCATTTGATCCTCACAATAAACATGTGAGCTAAGTATATCTAATAGTATTTATATCAGTTTTATAGATAAAGAAACTGAAGCACACAATCTATATGACTAGACAAGTGTCACTGACTTTTTAGCTCTAAATTTTGACTATGACTTTCCTGGGAGTTTTCATTTTGGGTTTTCTTTCAGGAAGTGACTAGTGGATTCCTCCTATATCCACTTTACCCTCTGGCTCTAAGAGATCTGGGAAATTTTTCTTTTAAGATTTCTTGAAATATGGCATGTAGGTTCTTTTTTTTGGTCATGATGTCCATATAATTCAATGATTCTTAATTTTTTTCTCCTCAATCATTCAGGTCAGTTGTTTTTGCTATGAGATAATTTATATTTTCTTCTATTTCTTCAGCTTTTTGTTTCTTCAGCTTGACTTTGTTTTGATATTTCTTATTACCTCATGGAGTCACTGGCTTCTATTTGCTCTATTCTAATTTTCAGGAAGTTTCTTGCTTCGGCAAGGTTTTGTACTTCTCGTGCCAAGCTAGAACAATCTTTCCAATTCTTTCTTATTGTTCTCATTTCTTTCCTTAAGTACTCTCAATCCACTTATAAAAACATTTTAAAACTCTAATTTTTAAACTTTTGCTTCATCTTTTTTCAGGAATTCGAGTCGAGTCTGTGTCCATGCTGTTTTTCTCTGAAGCACTGCCTGTAGATGCTTTAGAGTCATTCTCTTCTGTCTCTGTGCCTTGAGTGTCCCTGCTGCCATAACAGCTCATGATGGTGGCTGTTGGTACGATTGCTTGCTCATTCTTCCAGGCTACTTCCTCACTTCCAATTTGATGTTAAGACCAGGTTCTGCTCACTTTTGCAGGGAAGGTCTGGGCTAGTATGGTTGTTTCTTTCTTACTGTGTTGTGTATTCCAGGTTCTCAGAAGCAGTTTGGGCTGGGAACCTGCAAGCTTTCCGTACTCCCAAAGTAGTTTGATCCAGAGCAAAGTCTCACTGCTGTTCCCTCCCACCCTCCTCAATCTGAGCTCTGCAAGTTCTTGACCTGGATTTTGACCTGAAAAGTAGACCACCTCTGTCAGCCAACTGGAAAGTTCTTTTGGCTCCAAGAAGTAGAACCGTGGGCTCCCCTTCAGTCTGGGATTTCTGCACAATATGCATCAGGCCACTTATGGCCCACAGCCATGCCAAAGGATTTCAGGCAGTCGCAGGTTGTGCGTGGTGGGACGCAGGTTGTGCAGGCCTAGCCTTGATTATTCCTCTGCAGTCTGGACTAGATACTAGAAGTGAAACTTTGCTCCGAGCTTGGGGCCAGAACCACACTGCTGCTACAGCTAGCTGCTGACTTCTAAACCTCCTCCTTTTTCCACACACACACACAGTCTGGGCCTCCACACCCAGGAAAACCACTGCACTCCTCAGTTCATCCTGTATTTGTGACCCAGAACTAGGGAGTAGATGACAAAATTGGCATTTGCAGTGCCTTGAAACAGATTTGTAAAAATTGCCCTCTATACATTCCATATCAAAGAATCAACTAACCATTATCCTTGGGTAGTTTATCCCATTTGCAGTTATTCATAGGAATAACCAGACCTCCCTCCAGGTATTACATAGAAACTTAGGTTGGCAACAATGATACTACAAAGGTATGGAGGAGAATGAGACTATATCTGACCAAGAACCAATACAGTATTCCCAAACCAAATATATTTGGGGGTTTCCATTGTTTTGTTTTTTAATATCTCTTCTTCCTATTTTATGTGGGTAATTAAGAAAAAACTTTAAAAACAAACAGAAAACAAAAAAAAAAAGGAGGAATTCTTGTGGGGCCAAAGAACAAAAAAAATTTAAAAGACAATTTTAAAAGTTCCAGAAATAGCAACACCAGCAACAATACAAATTATTTTTCCAGCAAGGTCAAGAATGAATTAAAAAAGAAGACCAAAAATATAAAAATAGAAAGATGAGTTAGGAAGCAAATAAGCAAATCACCAATTCTATAATATCAAATTCTAGTATCTAATATAAAATTCTCTAAAATAAAAAATAAAATAAAAAATTTGTACAGTGCCATACAGTGAACCTGCTTTTTTTTGCATACCATAGAGAAATGCTGCTTTAAAAAAAAAAAAGGAATAGTCTTCTCCAATTTAGGGTCCAAATATTCTTTAAGATGTCATTGGTATTTGCACTAACAGAGAGCTATCATTTCCCCATCAAGTTCTATTTCCTCCCTGCAACCCAGGTAAAAAGTACAGCATTCTCTTTCCCAAGAGATACCTTCATCACCAAGAATTCTCCTACCTATCCCACAGAGTTGCCAAGAATAAAGAACACTTAATATGTTTCATATATAGATAATATAATCCTAGCTAGAATTTTTATTAGGAAGATAAAAGTTTTGACTATAGAATCTTAATTTTTATTCAAAAGATTAAATGTTTTAACTTAAAGATGTAAATATAAGTATCTAGACAGCTTTTTAAAATCATAAAATGAGCTCAGGAAAAATATTAGCTAAATGTTAATATATAAAAAACACACAAAACAAGCTGAAATTCAGAAAACAGTTAAGGAACATGTTTATTAAGTATACTGAACTTCTCCTCACCTCATAACTACCTTATTGTATCTTTAGATAATAGTATCTCTGTTCCCAAGTATGAAATTCTTTTGCTTTTATAGATTTGTGGCCCAGCCTAAAAGAACTATAAATGTGTGTATACTATGATAATGTCACAAACTCAGTAGCTATGAATGACTTAATTTTCAAAGAAGAGCCCTTCTTAAAATATTGGAGTAATTTTCTACAATCCAGTATTTTAGAAACTGAAATGAAATAATAAGTTCTTCCAATTAATACTGAAAAAGTTTACATTCAGGAAGTATTGATAAAGATGCTTCTTTAGTGTGATATATTACTAGTAAATTTCTGATTTCTTATTATAAATAGGAATAATTTGAGATATGCTAAAATCCTTAATAAATAATTATAGTTATTATATTACAGCAGTTCCATGCCATGAAACTGTAATGTTGTCTAGAATAAATCCTCTGGGATGGAGTCCCAGGAGGACCGATCTGATAATAAATATGGCAAGTAACATTTTCCAAAGCCCCAGGAACCTTAAACAATGCCACTTGGTACCACAAAGAATAAATTTACTAAATCTTCAACACAACAGAGCTTCAAATATTTGAAGGCAGTCTATCATGCCTTCTTATCCTGCCAAGTATTCTTTTCCATAGGATTTAACCTATTTGTTCATTAGCATTTGGTTACAAGGTCCTCTCACTCTCCTAGTAGCTTTCATTTGCTCCAGGTGGTCCTTGTCTCAAAGACTTGGGCATAATACTAGCTACATAACCCATACAGAACACAGCTGCACCTTCTTTGTTCTGGATGATACTATCCTATTAATGCAGCAAAGAATAAGCCAAGTCAACAAGCATTTATTATATGACAGCCATTGTGTTAAGAGCTGGAGATATAAAGAAGGGCAAAAACTGTTGCCTACAAGAAGCCCACATTCTAATGGGGGAGGGGGAAGGAATATCTAATCAACTGAGCACATGCAAGTCTTAGACAAGGTAAGCTGACGGTCATCTCAGAGGGAAGGCACTAACATTGAGAAAGAAGGAGAAAAGTTTCTTGTAGAAAGTAGGATTTTCATCAAGAGTCTGAAGGAAACCTGGAAAGCCAAGAGGCAGAGGTAAGGAGGGAGGACATTTTAGGTATAGGGAACGGCTAGTATTAAGGTAAACCAAGTTTTATTAGTAGCCACTTCAAACTATTTATTCTGAACTTTTT